TTTCACCCTGGTTTAGGGAAAGCCTGGTATCGAGGGAATGTGAATCTGAGTTCCCCACTGCTGTGAGAAATCTCGTCCCAACAACTTCATGGCTATGTCTGACCGTCCTCTCGGATTGCGTTTTCTCCATCCGTCTCCGTGAGGAGGAGAGGTCTGTTACTCCTACAAACGGCATTCCGGAAAACCCATAATACAAAGGACCGACTTGACCCTCAGTTAACTAGAAAGGGGGGATACGATACGGGGCGAGGGCCTCAGGAAAGGCTTCTCTGCAGGTCGGACCCCTGCCTGAAAACGCGGGCACCCAGGAAGGACCCGCCGCCAGGGGCGAGGTTAGTTTCCCCAGGAGGGGTGAACCCATCTGGACTGCAGGCCGCACTGCGAGGCTCTGCGCCTCCAGGGGGAGCGCTGCGGACTGCACCAATGCCTCTTCCCTTCCTGCGTCCTAGGTCTCCTACACACGCCTGAGGAGATGGCATTTTTGTTCCAAAATCACACCGAGAGAGCTGAGAGGAGGAGGCGGGGGGGGAGGGGGGGCTGGGCCTGACTTCTCCATGGCTCTGCAGGAGCCTGGCTGCGGCCTGCATTGAGACCCATCTCCTGGCTGGGGATTCCAGGCCTGGACCAGGCCACGGCACCGGGGACAGAAAGCCCGGGGCGCTACAGCGCCAGATGAGCCCTCTGGCCAAGCGGTGTTACAGAACTGCGGGTCTGGAAGTGCTCGGCACGGGCGCCCGCGTTGTGCTAGAGGAGGAATTTCTGCTCTTAGGTTAACGAGTCAAATATTGTTGAATCCACTGCAAACGCCCGGAAAGACCTGCACACACACTTGCCGTCGTGGTCCCACAGCCTTCTTACATGAGGCCTGACCCCTGCCTGCTCCTGTTACACAACAGGCAGGGCCCTGGCAGTACAGGACCCTGAGGTCGACTGAAGATACCCACGGTGACAGCCCCTCGGGAAAAGGAAGGGGGAGGTGTGGGCGCTGCGCCCCTGCCCGCAGCGGGCAGTGAGGATGTGGATGCCCACGCCTGCCGGCACACCCCGACACAAGGGAGGATTCTAGCACACTAGCAGAACCTGAGAACGGACGGGACCAGGGTGGTGGCTGCTCCCCGTCTTCGTGGAAGTCCCCACGGGGCTGGCAGGCTGGCACCTCCCCACAATGCCAGTGGGGTGGCCGGCTGTCCCAGAGCCTGACCGCTTCCCCACCGGTCCAGAGGCTATATAAAAAAATGCGTGTGGCTGCTCAATGAAATACATCTCACCTCAACGCTGGCTTCCAGTTTCCCCGGCTCCTGAGCCACCGCCCTCACGCCCTCCCGGGTCCCGGGTCCCACAAGGTAACTGTCCAATTCCTAGAAACTGGGTATAAATAAACCTTTCGAAGCGGCTATTCTAAATTCCAAAATTCTTGTGAAATAACAGTCACATCAGCTCCTGCATCCACCAAGCTTTCTACTTCAATGTCACTCGCTCACAGCTTTAACTCTGGAATCTGGTCTTTAACTAGTGTTTGCCAGAAGACACACTTTCCAGTACTTCCAACTCTCCTGGTCTTTCTCTGATACACAGAAACGGCAACGACTCGGCGATCCTAGCTCCCGTGTTAAATTCTCTCTCTACAGAAGCCACCACTTTAAATTCTCCTTTGAAACCTTCCTCTGTACTTCCTGGATGCACAATGAATCCTCAGGAAGTCAAACTGCTCTTTCAAAGACCACTCCACTGTCCCTGGGGGCAGCGCCCATCAACCCCAGATGCTATTTTGAGAGTCTGGGGCCACAGTAAGGCGTTTATCTGCAGCCAAGCCTGGAGCAACACTGCCTGCCACAGCGTCCGTTACGTCTGCGACCCTCGGCTGAGGCTTTCTGCCGCTTGTTACTTCCTGGATGACAAGAGGTAAGCAGCTTGTACCTTTTGCTCCGAGGCCTTGAGCTAGCCTAGCTGGCCCCCACGGGTATCTCTCTTGGACCTACACTCATTGGTCCGACGGTAACCCTTGCCTTCCTTCTGATTTATAGAAAACTCATTACCCTTAGAGATGCCCTGCTCACAACTTTGTCTCAAATGTCCATGTTCCCCACCATTAAAACCCTGGACATTTTGGTATCAGAGAGCGCTAGCAATAGCCTGACCTAGTATATCAGCACGAGGAGCAGTAGCATGGTTTGCTGGAACCAATACTGTTCAGATCATGTATCCGTGGGTGCTGGCCTGCCTTCACGTCTTATGACTTTTTTACACTCTATGCTTGCATTTTCAAATGCTCGGGACTCCAGCAACACCTGCCTTCTGTCAGGGCCCAGCATGGTCTTATTTACTGCTGAGATCACTCTTGGTAAGAAATCAGTGAAGGAGTCTCCAGATCCCTGTATAACTTTTGTAAATGATGTAGACTCCTTTCCTGGCTCCTCAACTCTGTCCCAAGCTCTTAAAGCTGCTAAATGGCATCGTTCTATGATCATCTTCAAACTGAACCTGTTCTTGTACATCAGCACCGTGACCTTCCCCAATCAACGGGTCCTCACTGTATTAACCCCCCTAACTAATGTGCTGTTCCAAATCCCTGGCTTCTCTCCACCTCGAAACCGCTGCGGCTGAGGAGCTGACTCTCATACAAACGTTACCATCCCGCTTGGCAGGCAGCCTTGGGAATACTTCTGAGTGGCCCAATTACTTGGTTTCACACAGGGTAAGCACATCCCAGCAGACGGCCTCCTTACGCTGACGGCCTCCTTACGCTACCGGAGGCCGTCATTTCTGCAGGATGCCATCCTACTTCACCGCAAGGATTACCCATCAGCAGCACACACTGCGTAAGCAACTAGACACGCTGGCTGTTGGGATCCTGTGACCCAGGACTTGTGTGGGTTTAGCCTGTCTCCTGAAAAGGCTGCCTCTTCTGATCGTCCTGCCTGTTCCTTTCTTTGACACCTTTCCTTCCTCTCTCCGTACCTGGGGGAACTCCCTCTCGCTGATGCAGTCACGGAATGACTTATTCTGCCTGTTCCTGGTGTTTTTCTCCCGCTTTTTGATTCCCAAGCTTTTCTATGTCCACCCTTTCCAGGCGCTAAGCCAGTCGTTCCTCTAATTCCACCCATAGTTTTTCCAGTTACTCAACCAGACTTTTATAAACAAAATTGCCCAAAATGAGCGAAAGGAGAAAGAGAAAAACAACGACCCTGCTCTAAAAACCTAGGGGTGGGGCAGGTATTAATAGGTAGTGCAAACCTTTCATTCCAGGGCTTGGGAGGCAGACACAGGGAGATAGATCTCTGAGTTCCAGGAGGACTCCGTTACACAAGAGAAACCCTGTCTCAGAAAAGCAAAAAAAAAAAAAAAACCAACATGTGGAGGATGTCCTAACAACAGCCTCAGCAATCACCTGTCACTTCTTGAAACAAAGTATCCATCCCCCTTCTTCTGCCTTTGCTCCCATTCTGCTTAGCCAAGTCTTTTAATGTTTCTTTTTCCCTCAAACAGCCTAGCCACATTGGGTGCCAAATGTAGCTTTCAGTGTTCTTTCTTTAGCTACTTTGTAGGTTCTTCTCCTCTCTCCTAACAGTATCTTCTTTGGCTCCGCTATCACCACCTGTCTTCTCTTACTCTGCTGCCTCACTTTCCCTGCCTCCCATTTTCACTTTGATCAATCTCCTCTTTCTCTCCAGCCCCTCTCTCTTGTTCTTCCTCCAGCTGGACCCGACTCCTGCTGCTCTCAGCTCTCAGCCTCTGCTGGCTTTTTATATCCTCTCCTGTTCCCAGAAGTCCAAGAACCACCTGACATTGAAGGACACAGGGTCCTCTAAAGGACCAGGCACACAAAATAAATCACTACACCTATGTTCTCAGGCCAGACAGGAAAGGGCTGCTTTAGCAAGCCTCACCTCACTGTCCAGCCTGCCTACAACAGGCTAGAAATTGTCATTTTACTCTTCCCTCTCCAAGTCACCACTTCCTTCGCTGAGCCCACACAGGACAGCTAGCTGAGTCTCAGAACTGACAGGCGCCTAGCAGAGCTTCTCACGGAGACAGGAAAAGCAGCTTCTGAGGTCACACAGAGGCTAGCTGGAGCAACCTCCCCTCCTCAACAGCGCTCAGCCCCTAAGTTTGCCATTTCTTCCCTGTCCACCACTACGGGTCCAGAAAGGGCTGCTGGCATGGACTGGGGCCCTTCTTGTCCAGGAAAGGGCAGCATGTGAAACCTCTACCCAGCCCCCATTCTCAAGCCCTTCCTCCCTAGTCTAAGCAATGGAAGACTTGGTTTTGTGTAAAAAACTCAAGCTCTTGAGCCTCTGCCTTGGGTGGGCAGCAAGTGGAGTTAGCTTCAGCCGGCGAGGAGCAGAGGCCAGGTTGGGGGGGGCAGGGAAGGAGGCAGTGGCAGAGAATCCCCGGTTGCCACTCCTCTCCAGCCTCCCATCCCGAGGGCTCCAGTGAGCTCCTCCCACTGAGTGGGCAGCAAGTCCTGGGATCTTCTTCCGAAGGTCGGAGTTCAGGTCCAGCCAACTCACAACTTGTGGGAGCTTCAGCCCTCAGGGATCTGACGTCTCAGGCTCCCACAGGCTCTGCGTGCATGCGCACAGACCACACCCATGCACACAGCTGAAGAAGGCTGGCGGAGAATCACATTCAGGGGCTTCAGGACCCGGCACCCTCACGGCGACTTGACTGGCTCTAACCCAGTGGCAGGGTGTCCGCACCCTCTCTCTGGCCTTCTCAGACACCAGGGACACTTGTGATGCACAGAAGACCCCCCCCCCACACACACACAAATGAAAAAGAATGCCCGCTATAGACATACAGAATTGTACAAAGCACATGAGTACGAATATATGAACAGGGCTACGAACCAATGATGCCGAGGCCCTATTTCCTTCTCTGACAGTTAAGGAAGACCAGGCCCAAAGGACAGATGCCTGTGGCAGACGAGTTAGCACCCTGCTTGCTCTCCTTCAGCCCCCTCCCACGTCCCACCAACAAACAGTACTTGAGAGCCGTGATGGCCACCTGTGCCCTTTCCAGGCAGTTTTATTGGCGCAGTTTGTGAAACATCTTTGCATCAACCTAAGTCCTCACCTTCTCTTCCCGAGAAAGCGGCTGGCTCTGGTCCTAGCTCTGCACACATCTGACTTTGAACTGACATGATGCTCGACTTAGAGTCCAGTGGCAAGCCTGCACCTAGGTCAGGGAGCAGGGGGAGGTGAGGACAGCCAGATGTTGTGTGCACTGTGGAGGGCTGGGCAAGGTGGCAAGGCCCAAGGGCACCCCAGCTCCAGAGCCCCCCGCTGTGGTCGAAGCACATCGATGGACAGTAAATCAGACCCTGAGAGAGTAGCCCGAGGCGAAGGTGTGTGGGGCCAGCAAAAGCCCGGGCTAGAGCCGCTTGGAGGCTCTGCAAACCCGGCCCCAGGGCGGAGGGAGCCCTCCCTGGAGCAGGGCTGAGAAGCAGCGCCCGGCCGTGGCTCTCGTCTCAACACCCATACCCTGCAGCAGAGGCTGTCAAGGAACCTGCAGTCCTGACGCAGCCCTCAGAGCTGCTGAAAGCCAGTCTGGGCTCCGAGGTGGGGTCAGTCCTGCAGCCCCAGGATCAGGAGGTCGCTGCCCCACGCCGGGTGCCTTCTTCCTCCATGAGCAGCAGGCGGCGGCGGCCGGCCTCATAGTCTGCCTCGTCCACGCTGACCAGCAGGCGGACGGCCTCCCGGCCCACAGCCTCACGCAGGGCCTCAGTCAGGAAGACACCCCGAAGGGCCTGCAGCAGAGCGCCGCTCAGATAGTCACCCCAGAAGGCGTCCAGGTAGGAGAGCTCCGAGAATTTGATGTCGCACACCACAGAGCCCAGGTCCCTCGAGCGCAGCACAGCGGTGGCCTGTCCAAACACATCCAGCTGTCGGGCCAGTGCCTGAGGCCTCCTGGACGCCACGCCCTGCTCCAAGGCCGGCCCGTGCTCGCAGTACTCTGCCCGGACCCGGAGCCGGATGTCTGCAGGAGAAGGAGGGCTCAGCGGCGGGCACCCAAGTTCCCCTCCCTCTGTCCTGCTCCCTCCAGCAGCCACACCAAGGAGGCCCTGACATCTCCACCTCTCTGTGGCTTGAGAGATGGCGGCCCTCCCAACCTCAAGCGCTCCTGCTCCCTGAGTCAGCAGGCAGGCTCCACCCAGCTCACACCGGCTCTGCCCACTGAGGAGTACTCCCTCCCAGTTCCCAGTTCGTTCCAAGGCCCCCTTCCCAGCAAGAAGAGCCAGGTCAGATGGCCAGACTGCCCACACCCTGACCACTCCCCAGAGTACCTAGCTTTTTTTGACTACTGTCTCCAGCTACTCCAGCATGGGCATCCAGTGCTGGATGGGCTTGCTGTGCTGCTCACACACATGCCCTGGGGGACAGAGCTGTTGCTCAGAATTTGTGTTTGTGAATGAACCAATGCGGAAGCCAAGGGAGCTGGCTTTCTTAGCCAGCCTCACAGACAGAATCCCAGAGCAAACAGCTCGCGCCTGCAACAAGCCCCAGGGAGCGAGGGGACCAGGCTCTGCTGAGGGCACAGTGCTCTTCCCACAGAACATGAGGTGACAGGGTAAGCCCAGGCCGCCTGGGCCACTAGGTCATCCAGAGAAGAGAATCAAGCCCACACGGGGCCAATGAGAGGCGGAGATCCCTGAGCTCATGGTTGGTCAGGAGGAAGCATAGGACGGGCAGGCAGCCCCGGCAGTTTGCACTTCACCTCAGCATATGAAGGTGGGTGCCTGCCACTGAGCCCACAGAAGGTGGCGGCTCTGCGCAGGAGACAGGCAGCCCTCAGAGGCACTGCAAGCGTGAGTTTGGGCTGGCCGCTTCCCTGGCCCCGCATCCGTGTGAGGCTATCAGCAGGTGCACGGCTGTGAGGCCCAGCTATGCCTGGCGACCGCGGTAGCCAACACTTGACTGTTGCCAACCGTCCTAGACCCCAAGTACTCCATCACAGAACTGCACCCACAAACGAGCCTGGGAGGCAGGCCTACTAACACTCCCACTACAGACTTGAGTGGAGGTGGAAAGGAGACAGGCCGACTAGCCCCAGTCACAGCCTGGCAGCCTCCTGCAGGCAGAAAGCGGCTTCTCCATAGAGAGGAGTCATTGTCTCCAGGAGCTGTTGGGCCACTGCTGTGCCCTGGGCAATCAGAGCCTCTGCAAACAAAGGTCCCCCTTAGGCCAGGGCACGCCCCCTGCCGGAAGAGCTGTTAAAGAGGACATGAAGAGAAGACTGGGCAGGGAGCACCAGCCAGGGAGAATGCAGCCCAGTGGGGGTCCCTGAAGCCACAGTAACCAGCAGCTGTGCACTCTAAGTGACAGACACTGGGCACGCTCCAACCCTGAAGGTGGGGGCCACCCTCAACCCAACAGGAAGTCAAAGCCCCGGGAAGATGTGGGCTCCTGTCACCTTTCACAGCTGTTCAACAGAGAGCAAAGACTAGGCAGGCCCCCAGAGCCTGATGACTTCCTGCCACATCCACTTCCTCCTCCTACTCCAAACCCTTCCTCTTTCTGTCTCCAGGGAACCCCACCCTCTCCACTGGAGGCCCAGAAGAGTTGGCCTCAGCTCCCCAGCTCCCTCCACCCTAAAGGCCAGATAAGCCCTCTGGTTTCCCTGACTCCTATAAACCTCTGACCACACCTTCCCATCTGAGGGTGGGGACCAGGGGAGCAGAAGAAACAGAACCTGCCCAGGGCCATGCAGGGCTGGGCAGAGGCAGAGGCAGGAGTCCCACAGACCTGAAAGTGAGTCCCAGCTCTGCCACGCTCTAGCTGTGGGGCCTTGGGCATGTGACCTCACCTCTCTCTGAGCCTGTTTCCCCATCTGAAAAACACAAGCAAACAGGAGGTCCCTGCTGCACGGTGGTCACGAGAATCAAACGAAGCAGCTGTGCAGTGCCTGACTCTTACAGCACACGAACTGTGACTTCCAAACCCACTGCCTACCCAAGTGACTCCGACCCAGGCGCTCCCTCTCACCGACCCCTAAGCCAACCTCCTCCATCACCTTCCCAAGTTCTGCAGCATCTGCCCAAGCTCTGCATTCTGGCCACCACAAAGCACTCCTCACGCTCTCCCAAAACCATCTACCCGCCTCCTCTGCCCAGAAGACACCCACTTACCCAGCAAAGCACACGTGCCCACTTCCAGCCCAGCCAGGCCCTTCCCTGCTCCTCCTCCACAGCCCCGAGCCCCCATGAAATCATCCAGCCATCGGTGCTCCACCTTCCCCGCAGGAGGGCCGGGGACAGGTGCCCACAGTAAGCTCTCTCCTCCTTCCACAGGACCACCCTCCGGGCTCTCCTGCCTCACTCCCTCTAACCCTCAGAGCACTTTCCCTAGTGCGTCTACAAATGAGGAAACCAACGCTCCGGCAGCCCACAGCCCACCTCTGACCTAGAAACAGATTGCCGCCCAGGAAAGCGAAGGACGGGTTTGAACCGTGAGCTCCAGCTGGTAGTTCTGGCCCTGAGTCACCGCTCACCACACAGCCTCTGCACCACTACGAGCGAGCACCAACACCGACACACGAGTGGGCTCTCCCGGCTGCCCGAGCTGCATGCACCTTGCCTGTGAGCCCTGGACCATTCCACGACTTTACGAGGCTGAGCCTTTCTGCACATGAGGAAACTGAGGCACAGAGGCGGAGTCACCTAGACCACTGCAGAATTCTGCGGTGGCCAGTTCAGTTCAGAGCCTGAGCTCTTAACTACCCAAGCCCGGGCCGCTGCCTCACACAAGCGTATAAACAGGTAATTACAGGCATTGTGAGGCAGGACGGACTTGCCATCCAGAGTTCCTGTCCAAGAAATGACACCTGACGTGAAGCTGGAGGAAGACACAGCAGGTCAGCCAGAAAATCAGAGAAGCCGGGCCGTGGTGTTTCCGGAAGGAAGCAGCATTCCCCAATGTCCAGGGAGAAAAGGAGCTTAGGGCAGCCAGCGGCCTGGGGCCAGCGCAGCGAAAGGGTGGCGGAAGGTCAGCAGCATCGGGAGGTCTGGTCCTCTTTGTGGCCATCTGGAGGTGAACACAGCCCTCCCTCCGAACCTCGGTTTCCCGGCACACTGCCCTCTGGAGGCCATGGTGAGCACAGGTCTGACAGGCAAGGACACGACCGGGACTCAGAGATGACACAGCTGCTGGGCATGACTGGTAAGGGGGCAGGAACAGGGGCAAAGCTCAGAGAGACACTCAGGAAGAAAGTGGCAGCCACCCCAGGGGCCCCGCCTTCCTAAAGGAGCACTCAGGGACGGGAGCACTGCCGGCTCACGTTGGGGCAGAAAAGGATGCGGAAGTGGGAGGGGCTTCTCCCTTGGCATTCCGGGGTCGCGGCCTCTGGAAGTGCACACCACGGTGAGGGCTAGCGACTGCCCTCCTAGAGTCAACGGTGGGCTTCGGCTCTCACTGCCTGGCTCTGTGGCAGCGTGGCCCACCGCTCCTGAGTGGCCTTACTAAAGGCCAGTTCCTTCACCTCCCACTCAACTAGCCAAGGGATGCTGCCGCCAAACTTCAGAGAACAGCAAGGAATCAACCACGGCCTCCTGATGGAAGAAAACACTGCGACCCAGGAATGAGTCTGAAAACTCCAAACATCAGCAGACAGTGCCGACGGAAGCCCGGAATCTGAACATGAAAGAGGCTGAGGCAGGAGGATTGACTGTCACAAGTTCAGGTCCAGCCTGGGCTGCATATGGTGTTCTGAGCCAGCCTGAGCTATAGTGTGCTAGCCTGTAATGAGAATTTTGGTTTCTTTCAAAGCCCAGTTGTTATGTGAACGTATTTTTGTTTTAATCCAGACGTGGGGTTGCTTCCGATTGCCCACAACCAGTAACCATGACTGTCTTGTGCCCTAGGAAGGGTGTGTGTGTGTGTGTAATTCTGGGGATTCTGGAGATGGCGCAGATGGGAGAGGCCCGCTGCTCCCCACTACTGCCTTTGCTATTGCTGGTTTGCTGGGTACTCTGACAACAAAGACTGAATTTGCCCCTAATCAGCAGGAAGGAGTCTAAAGAGGTCTCCACCCTTTCCCTCTAACCTTCTCTCCTACCCAGTGTTGGGGGTTGGAAGGGATCGGGTGGAATGAGGGTTGGAAAGGTTGTAGGTGTAAGAACCCAATAAAGTAACCCAATAGTTCTAAAACTCTAAAACTTAAAAAAACAAAAAGCGGGACCCTGGATCTGCCCATGAAATAAGCAGTAAGACGAGACAACTGGGATGACTCCAGCGAGCTGCAGTGGACAACGGGTGAAGGCCGGGGAAGTCCTGGGCCAACCCGCCTGCTGGCATACAGTTTTCATTAAAAAGTTTAAAGCTGGGCATGATGCAACGCGCTGGGAGACAGAGGCTGGATGGTCAGGAGCGCCAACTGTGGCTGTACCCCAAATTCCGGTCCTGCCTGGGCCACATGAGACACTATCTCAAAAAGCCAAGCCCAACCCCAGCCCCCAAACTGCAGTAGAGCCAGGCCTGACGACCATCTCTACAATCCCAACTCTCAGGGCAGAGGCAGGGGTGTTGGCGGAGGTTTAAGACCAATCGGGCCTACACAAGTTCCAGGCTAGCCAGAGCTCCATGGAGAGACCTTCTCCCGTCTGCCCGTCGCCTTGCCTCTCCCCACTCTCCATCAAACCCTCCCGGCTTCGGGGCCACCTGTGACCAGCACAGGTGCATGCGCACAGGCTTTTGCTCCTGCCGATCTGACACCTCTGACGTGGCTTCTCCTCCCACCAGAAAAACAGCTCACCAAGAGCAGAGGCCCCGGCAGGCATGGTGCACACACAGGAACAGGCCTGCTTCCTGCCCAGCTGTGGTTCTGACTTCCGCTCCCCTGCCTTTCAGGCAGGCACATTTGCCCAACGGTAGCCAGACACAGGCCCTACTTCAACAGCTGTCTTGAGACTCAGAGAACAGGCAAGTAACAGGGCCAGCAGTGTCCACTGGTGGCCGTGAAAGATATGGACTCAGGGGCTGTGTCCGACCTAGGGCCTACTATGCCCTGGACGCCCTCAAGCACTTAGTTGTTACTCCCAGTGGGGCAACGACTGAGGCCACGACTGAGGCCGGGCGTTTTCAGCGTGTAGGGCAGGAATGGCGCGCCCTCCCTCAGTCAGGCCAGGAAGGGGTCAGGGCCTTGTTAAAATAAGTCACCCCCATTTTTCAGAAGGGAAACGGGGGCCCACGCAGGGAGACGCTAGGGCAGCCCCACCCTCTGTGGTGACTCAGCAGGCAGACCAGCAGTTCTTGGTCCTTCAAGTGCCGGCCACGCCCTGACTAACAAGCTCCTGGCCTCAGGGAAGAGCCGTGAAGCCTGGCACTGGTCTGCCCAGGCCCTCAGTGACTCCCTGCCCTGGGCAGCCACCTTCACCCCACGCCAGCGCCCTGTGTTCCTGGTGGCACCCAGCACAGGCATCTGCCACCTCACCTCTGAGGGGAGACACCACCCAGGGCCCAGGAGGCCACACAGGCAATAGGAGGGGCAAGTGTGTTCGAGACCTACTTGCGGCAGGAGGAGGCGCCCGGCCAGGGCCTCCTTTCTTAGGAGCCCCACCCTCCAGCTTCCCCTCCCTCCCAGGCCTAATCCAGCTTCCAGCACAGCCTCCTCAGCTGCGGCCTGCTCGTCCGCTGTGTCCCCTGAGAACCCTGCAGCTCCCTGCTGGCGGCACTGGCCTCAGTCCCTCCATCAGGGGGTTCCTGCAGCTCACAGGCGCTTTGTGCCGGCTGAGACCACCTTGGTGCTGGTGAGTTATTCGTTTAACACACCCTGATAGACTCCTGGAGGCCAGGAACTACCTGGTCTAATCCTGTCCTCACTGCCTAGACCAGTGCGCGTGCCTGATGAAGAGATGTGCAACAAGAGAAATGATGTGAAGCCAGGTGCTGTGCACCCGTGACTCCAGCACTCAGGAGGCAGAGGCAGGCGGAGCTCTGTGACTTAAGAGGCCAGTCTGTTCTACAAAGCCAGTCCAAGGTTACACAGAGAAACCCTGTCTCAAAACAAAACAACAAAAAACAAGAAAAATTATGTGAAAGAAATGGTAGGTGGACTGCTCTGGGGCCCCTGCAAGCCCAGAATAAGGCCTTGACCTCCAAGGTCCCACCTGCTGTACGGCCGCCTATCTGCAAACCTCTACTTCCAGCACGTAACCCCACGCCGCTGTGCACAGAGGTCATACAGGAACCACCCTCCCAGTGACTCAAGCTCGTCCTGAGAGCGGCACCTACACAAGGACCACAGGGCTCCCATGCACACCTGCCTGCGGGTCACACTGGCCTGGCCGCCGTGTCCCACACATTAGACACTCTGGAGTGTGAGACTGGATGAGAGTCCTAGTGTGTCCTTAGGTCTATGCAGTGCAAGGAAGGGAGAACCAGAGACAGCTGTTTTCCAGCCCTCGCCCTCCCAGAGCACAGGGGAATATCTCAAAGACAGAGCACCAGAGCCTAGGATGGCTCTCACAAGTCTAATAGATCCTAGCACTATGGAGGCCAAAGCAGGAGGATTCCAAGGTCAAGGCCAGCATTGGGACTATATGTCGAGAACCAGGCAAGCCTACATAACAAATAATAAAAGCCCATCTCAACACAAAGAAAAGAAAAGAGAAAGTAGAAACATGAACAAAAACCCAAACTCCCAACTGTGGTGCGGCGGCGCTGCCTCCTGCCAGGGCCCAGCTGGCTTCCGCACCAGCCCCTGACGGCATCCACCACCGCCTCGGCAATCTCAGCTCCAATGGACTGTCACCCAGCTGCGAGGTCAGTCCTACAGGGGCAGGCCTTCCTGCCTCAAGCCCCGACAGCAAGCCTCACCACCACAAGCCCTGAGCCAGGAAAGCACTTCACGGTACAGCTGTGGGAACAGCTCTCTCTTTAGAGCTCTTTCTCTCTCTCTCTCTCTCACACTCACACCATCTGCCCAAGGTCAGGCAGCTTCTTTAAATGCCAATGTTAAAGCCAGGCAGATCTCTAGTTTGAGACCAGCCTGGTCTACAGAGTGAGTTCCAGGATAGCCAAGACTACACTGTGAGACTCTGTTTTGGAAAAAGCAAAACAAAAACAAAAACAAAAAACAAAACAAAAGCCAAGGCTAAGATATAACCGAGCAGCCTGACTTGGAGTCCTTGCTTCTCTCCCTAGCACACACTATGCTGTATTATATCAGCTGGACTGCAGTGACCCCTCCTGTGTGTGTGTGTGTGTGTGAGAGAGAGAGAGAGAGAGCACATAGCTACCCACTCACCCCAGACAATGCAGGGCGCTGGAGTGATGTTTCTGTACAGTGTGCAGAGACTATTCTCGTATATTCAAATGCTGACTGCTGTGCCTCTCAGGCCTGATTACGAGCCAGACCTCAGCACGGACATTTTAGGAGGCATCGCCTGTCCCAATGTTTTGTAAACACAGTTCTCCATCACCTTCTGACTGGTCGAATAAAGAGCTGAAGGCCAGTAGGCGGGACTTCTGGTGGGGTGGGGTGCCCAGGTGGGGACAGGGAGAGCGGCGGGAGTCGCCAGCTGGACGACTGAAGCAGGTGTGAGGTGAGACTTGGAAGGACAGGTATGGAGCTGCGGGGCTGGGACGTAGGCCAGGCTGGATTGCCGAGTTAAAATAACTCTGCCCAGCGTGGTGCCATAGCTAACGATAAACACAGGAAGTCTCCGAGTCATTACTCAGGAGCTGGGCGGGTACAGAAAGTCCTTACTGACCTAGTGTGCCTCACCCCGCAACCCACCATGGACACTTTACAAGCATTCGCAGGGCCCCTGGGGACCTACCACAGGTCACTTTGCCTTCTGAGGGCCTGCCTGGCTCCTGTTGCTGCTGCTGAGGCTGCCGCAAGGCCGCTGGGCCCGCTCTCCTGCGCCGCCGGGCACCACCGCTGGGGCGGCCGCGACTCCGACGCTGCCTCTTGCTTGGAGGGGAGGCTGGAAGACAGAGAAGAGCCAGCTCAGGACCAGGAAGGAAGAATGCCAGAAGTGCTCGGGAGAAGCAGGGAGCCTCTGCGGAGCCTTCTGGAGGTGGTGCTGCCTAGAAGAGAGCCGCCCCCTGCCATCCTCTGCAAGGCTGGATGTGCGTGTGCCACGACGCAGCGGCCCCTGGCATCCGGCACCCCTTTCTCGAGGAAGGGGGCACACACCTGTAAGCTCAGCTCTTGGGGTACAGCCAGGAAGACTCTAAGTCTGAGGTCAGGCTGGCGCTAAGAGATCCTGTGTTGACCTCATCCCCACCCCACCGTCCAAACGGAGGCGCTGAGGCCATCTAACGTGGGTCACTCTCGACTCTTCTCTCTCACGCATGCGCACACACATGCTCAGGCCTGGCTCCGTGGGTGAAGGCATCTACTCCAGGACTAAGGAGCTGCCTTGCCGCCTGGGACTTGAAACAACGCACACACAAGTCAATGTTATGTCTTTTCAAAAACATAAGCTTAAAAAGAAAAACATAAGAATGCAACCGTTTAACAGGAGGAATAACTTCTGTGATGAACTGTTGAACCCAGGAAAACAAGGTACTCAGGAGGCTGAGGAGGGTCAAGGGGTTCCCGGCCAGTGTGCTCCGCCTTAGACCCAAAACAGAGACGGGCCCGTGAGACTGTAAACGTGACAGTCCCAGGACGGGGACGCGGGGCACTGCGCACACCACTCACTTCCGAGGGAAGCCCGGGCGGGGCACGTTACAAACAACCAACGCGTCTCCACGGGTCCCCAGGTGCTGTCAGCATCGCCCCGTGTCACGTCACTGCGTGGAATTTAACCACACAAGATGAAAAGACGCAAAAGAGAAGATTCACACGAAAACAAATGAACCGAGGTGCACACACAATCCGTAACGCCAGCTTCTGATGACAGGGTGAGGCAGGTGCTTCAGGACAGCGGCTCTCAACCCTGCCCAGGGCCGCCTAAGGCCTCCAGAGACAGAGATATTCAAATCACAACTCACAACAGTAGCAAAATCCCACGATAATTTCACGGCTGGGGTCAGTACATGAGGCCTGCCCTAGAACACTGTGACGGCACACTCAGTGGGATCTGACCGAAGAACAGCAAACACAAACCAGAGGCCTGTGCATGTCCTCAATCCCGCACCCCAGGCAGAGGCAGGTGGATGCCTGGGAGTTCAAGGCCAGCCACAGCTGGCCACACCTGGTAAGACCTTGTCTCAAAACACACGTGCATGCTCACACGGCAAGAATGACTACAAACTTATCTCGCGCTTCAGGCACTAGATGCTGACAGTGGAGAGGGACGGTGAGTCAGGAAGATCAAGGAATCCAGGCCAGCGGGGACTATGCGACAAAACCCCGCCTTAGAGCCACCGTAACACCGAGGAGAGCTGGAGAGACTCGGTGGCAACCCTACGTCCAGACGCCGGTGGAAAGGGAATCCGCTGCACACTTGTGCTCTGACTTCATACGTGTGCCATCAACTCCCCAGCACACACAATGCGCGCTCGCTCTCTCACACACACACCAGCACTGAGATCTTTCGAGGGAAAGCAGAGCTGGGAAATGTCGAGAGGGAAGGGAAGACACGCAGTGCTAAGAAAATAAACGAGGGGCCTGCAACAGGCGGGGGGGAAGGCGGAGCATGCCTGACATGTCCCAAACCTCTCCACACGAAACAAGCAGCTACCTCTTTACTGTCGGGACAAGGGAAGCAAACCCAAGCCAGCGTCAGCGGCCAAGATTTCCACTCTAAAGGGAAGCAGTCAGGGGCCCGAGCCAAGGCTCAGCAGTTAGTGTCCACACGACTTGTGCAAGGCCCAAGTTCAGTTCCCGGCATGGCAACCTGAGAAGGCTCACAACCCTGAGCAGCTCCACCTCCCAGGGGATTGGACGCCTGCCTGGAGCCCCTGCTGGATGGGCACTCAGGGGTGCAAATCCGAACACATACACACAATTAAAAGCGCATTTAAAACCCTCAGCCTCCAAGGGCCCAGGGGACCGGAGGCCCGAGGGCCGAAGCCAGCTCGGAAGAACTTGTCCTGAGAAGCAGACACCCGCTTTCCCATTTCCGCTGGATAGACACATCCCCAAACAGACAGCGGCCACCACCAGGCCCCTTGACAAGCAGATGGCTTTGGGGGGGAGCTGCAGACAAGCCAGGACGCCTCAGCATCTTAAAGCCAAGCACTCACAATGGTGCAGACACGCACGCCCCAGGGAAGGGCCCAGCAATCCGGGCTTGAAGGACTGACAGAGGGGAGTGGAGGTGGGCAGCTACACGGTAACCACGGATGAAGGAGGGTTGGGGAAAGCACTGCAGAAAGAGCTATCTACCTATGCAGGAAGGGGGCGGGGCTTCGAGGGGCTTCCCGGCGCACACCCTCGGTCTCGGCGCTCTGGAGGCAGAGGCAGCTGGATCTCAGGTGAGCCTCGGGCCAGCCTGGTCTAGAGTGATCCTCTGTTGTTAACTGGAAAGAGAAAAAAGCCTGGAGAGCAGCAGTAGAGGCCTAAGAGGCCCAGGGAGGGCCTGGGTGTGGCTTGGTGAGGAGCGCCGCCTCACAGTACAGAGCCCTAGGTTCGATGCCTCATACCACAGGAACGGAAAATCGGTAATTAAAACAACAACAGTTTAAAAACTGCTCTGTGCACCGGCCTCACAGAACAAGCCAGTAAGCCGGCTGCTCGGCAGGCCGAGGAGGACCTGGGCGACTGAGAGCCTGTCTCAAGTGTCTGTTTATAAAAAAGCTGCCCAACACAAGCAATAAACAAACAAGTCACCACTTACAAGCGTGGTAACTGGTCCAGGCAGGGCTCACAAGAGGAAGCTAAGTCCCCGAGGAACAGCCGAGCGCGGAGCACCCTGAGCAGCACTGTTGTTCATCGCTAACCACAGCAGGAAAGTCGCTGCCCCAGCAACCCGGCCCGAGTGGCAGCATGGGGGGTCGGGGGTCAGGCCTGTGAGGTGGGTGCGAGCCCCCCTGGGATCCAGTGCTCTGGAGGCAGGTCCTGGGGTGCCCGGGGCAAGCCGGCTAGCCACACTGACCTTCTTACATTCCAGGTTCAGCAGAGACCCTGTCTCAGTAACTACAGTGAATAAGGAAGACACCTGGGGCCAACTTCCAGGCCCTCCGCACGTGAATTCACGCAACTGTGGACGCGCGCGCGCGTGCACGCGCGCACGCACACGCAGGCACAGCAGAATGTCAGCCCTGAGTCCAAGTGAAGATGTTCTCTGTACATTTAACTTCTCTAGATATGTGAAGCACAGACGTGTATGTACACACTAACTATAGCACAGAAGTTTAACCAATTAAAGGCAATCACCATTAAATAAATAAGTCTCAGAAACGTGTCTAGCCGTGTGACTGCCAGGTCACATGCCATGACATGATGTCAGAGTTAAACATGAGTCCCTGTGACACAAGCCTGTTGCTTCAGGACACGCTTCTTCCTTCAGCAGTAACAAACACAGACACGCTGCAGAACAGGCAGCCTAACCCTGCGGGCCGCTCCCTTCAAGGGCCGGGATGCAGGTTAGTCACGCTGCAGGAGGGAGGGACACTATCAGTGTCCTCACAGTGGCCTCACCTGCATCCCATCGCCGGCGCTGGCAACCGTCCTCGGTCCTGCTGGAGGACGAGCTGGAACTGCCGCAGCTGTAGCGCTCAGGGGACACTGGGGAGAGAGAAGGGGGCAGCGTTCATGGAACCCTTTCCTCCCAGCCCAGACTCCTAGGATGATGCCTAATCCCGGTCCCTCAGAGGACACACCCAAATACCCATGCCTCCCAAGGTAGAGTGCTCCCGGGGCTGCCCGCCCAGGTCCCTGCGATGGCCCTTGCCCCCTTCTGCTACCAGCTCACTCTGGGGGGTCACGACATACATAGGCCTTTTTTCTTCTCTTCCGGGGCCTGACATGCAGACATATTTTCCACAGTCAGACAGCCAATCCCTAGAGGTGCCCTTCTGCTTACACAAATCCCACAGGCCTCTTACGGGACAGGAAAGCTCAAAAGGCCCTCCCCAACCCCGAGCACTATCTCCCAAGGAAGCCTCCACAGGCCTCCTGGCATCCTGACCCTCCCAGCCCCTCCCCTTTTGCCCAAGAACCGAGGGAGGGCCTCAACCCTGGAAACAGGGCAGGCAGGTTTGAATCCTGCCCGTATTAGCTACATGTGTTATGCGTCTGACACATTTTCATGCCCTTCCCCCACTGCTATTTGAAACACCGTTTCTTAGAAAACTATCCCTCCACTGCTGCCTAATTTAGGGTTACCACTCTCAATTTGTGGCTCTCTCCCCTTCTCACTCAGTCTAAATCTAAGCTCCTTGTTTGTTATTAACTGAGTCCTCCTCTAATGCAGGCTTCACGAACTGGCATCTTGGCTGTCACTTCTCTGTGGCCGACAGGAAGGATGCAGTTTTCACGCGCAGCCACGGTGCTTAGGGGCTCTGAACCTGTTGTTTTCCCCGTGCAATGGGGGGCTATAAGGTTCACGCATGACAAGGTCACCTCTGCCTGGCACAAAAAGTTCCACGAACAACGGACACGATCATTCTCCATAAGGCCGAATAGCACAAGCTCACTCCTACTTAGGCCATCACCGCTCCCTTCGGGGTTTCCACTGTGGAAAGGACGGCCCCGCAAGTCCTCCCCTCCCGGCCAGCGCTTACCTGGCCGGCGCCGATTACACGCCAGGTGTGGCAGCAGGTCGTGGCGGGCCAGCACGCGCAGGAGTTGGCTCAGCAGCCGCAGGTTGCTCTCGTCGCACTGCCCACGGCGTTCCAGCTCCAGAAGCAGCTCCAGGCCGCTGCGGGCTCGGGCCAGGCCGCCGGGGGCGCCGGGAGCCTCATCCAGCAGGAAGGCCAGGAGCTCCAGTTCACACTCGGTCAGCTGCCCGCCCACCACCTCGAACATACGGTGAAGCGACAGCATGCCGTAGTAATCCAAACACTCCTCCTCCTCCCAGCTCGGGGCCGGGGTCGGCCCGGACAGCGCCATTCCCAGGGGAGGGGTGCGGAACAAGCTCAGAACCAGGGCCTAGAACCCACACGGCGGGGAGGAGGTGGCGGTCAGGGACGCGCTGGCCCCCGGGGGGTGTCTCCGGGCAGGGGCGGCCCCACACCCTCAACGGCCTCGGCCTCTCCCTCCCACCGGCAGGAGTGGTAGCGCCCGCGGTTCCACGGTGGACCCCGCCGAGCCACGACCGGCCGGGAGGGCCAAGCCCAGGCAGATGGCCCTCCACGGGTGGTACGGTCCGAACCTGGCACCGACCCACCCAGGGGCTCGGCTCCACCGCAGGGCACCCCGTCCAAGGCCCGGTGGCCCTGGGCGCCGCACAGGTGGCACCCCCCGGGCCCTCGCCCAGCACCCAGGCCGCTCCAGCGCCCCTCCGCCCGCCGCCCTGCGGCCTCCCCGGAGCCTCACCAGATGCCAGCGTCCGGCGACCGCGGGGCGACGGCCGCAGCCACTTGTTTGGGATCCTTCTGGCACCTTCTCTGTTATTACGCCTGCGTCACCTCGCTCCTCCCCCTCCGCCCAACTCGCGCAGGTGCGACGCCACGCCCCCACGGCGCAGGCGCAGCTCGACGCGTCCGAGCCCCGCCCCTCCCGGGCCGCGGGCTCCCCCGGAGTGTCACCGACTCGGAGGGGAAGGCCAGGCCTCACAAGCGGGGGGGTGGGCCGTCGTGGGCACTGCGGCGCATCGGGCCTGAGCTCCGGCTTGGAGACGGGGCTTCTCCGTGCGGCCCCGGCTGCCCTGGCCTCGAACTCAGAACTCCGGCTGCTTCTGCCTCCCGAGTGCTGGGATCACAGGCGCGCGCCACCGCGCCCGGCAGGGTCCGGGCCGCGGAGAAGGGCCCCCGGCGCGTCCGCCCTGGGCGTTGGGTCGTCGGAGACGCGCGGGGTCGCCGCCGTGGACGGACACCTGTCAGGGCCGCGCCGCCCCGTCCGCCCGGAGCGCGGCTGGCGCGCCTCCCCGCGCT